CCGACCTCCCCCGAGCACAGGTTCAGGACGAGTCTGTACGTCATGCCCTTGGCATCTTCGTCGGGCTGCCCGCCGCCTAAGTTGACCGAGCTCTGGTCGCTCTGCTTCGCCACCTTTCTCCCAGGAAAGGGTGGCAGCCTCCGCGGCCTCCGTCGAAGCGTCCTCGCAGTTGTCATTCGGGGGCAGCTCCGCCACGTGCCCCCGCGCGAGTTTCAAGACGCTGGTGCTGCAGATTGAGTTCGCCCCAGTGGCAAGGGCAATATTACAGATGCGCGTCGAAACATGCGGCATCACTGACATCATGTTATGGCATTCTTCGCAACAGCTTGGATCTCTCTGAACTCCGACGAGGGGGATCCTCAAACGCTTCCTCCTCCTCCCCCTTCTCCTGTTCCTCCTCCTTCTCCTCCTCCACCTTCTCCTCCTCCTCCTCCGCCTCCTCCTCCCCTTCCTCCTCCTCCTCCTCCTCCTCCTCCTCCTCCTCTTCCTAATCCTCACTCTGTCTCTGTCTCTCTCTCTCTCTCTCTCCTCCCTCCTGCGACTCTAAGAGCTCGTTGGAATCCGAACGAGCCATCCGATCCAGTGGGACGCAGAGGTTGGGCTCTTTAGATGGCCACTCGCTCGACCCATCAGAAGAGGAGGAATGCTGCATCTCTAAGTCATGTTCTCCCGCGCCACGTGCATGCGGAACATGCTGATCTGGCGGCCGCCCCCGCGGGAGTTCCTGGAGAGCGGGCCGCCAGCGTTCCGCGCCCAGGGAATTCGGCAAGGGAGCGGTGAGCTCCACGGCAGAGTTGGAGCAGCTCACGGCAGAGCTGGGCTTCGTGGTGCCTCTCGCCTGAGCGCGGCCGCGACTAGCTCGGTACCTGCGGGGTTGTCCCGACGGATTGCTCCCGCGCCCCAGCAGCTCGCGGGGTGGTCCCAACGGCCTGGCCCGCGGGTTTGTCCCGACGGCTGCGCGATGTGGCCATTCGAGAATGCGTCCGTGCAGGCCGAAGCGGCGACGGTGCCAAGGGACATCGACGCGCGCGCTCTTGCAATAGAGAGAGAGGAGGAGGTGGCGGGGGTCAAGAAAACATGAGGGCGAGGAGGGGGCGACGTACGGGGCGGGAGGAGGGCCTGCGCCAGGGCGAGAAGGATAATGATGCAGAGGAGCCAGTAAGGACGCTTCACCAGTCACGAGGGCGACGATGAGGGGCGTTTCCAGAATAAATAGCCAAGATGGTTCTCATCTGTGGCCCTGCCGTTGGAGTAGTTTTGTACATATGAAATGTTGGTGTTCGTAGTTGCGTCGATGCCCCCGCGCCCCGCGGTTCCCGCGGCCTGCGTTACTTGTGCCCCGCTCGCTGATGGCAGCGCCGATTGCAACACCAATGGCAGCACAACTGACGCAGACGGCACCAGTTCGGCGAAACGAGTGTCGGCACTACTCTGGCAACGGCAGTGCGCTTTCTCGATCTCCATCCGATGCCCCTTGTGCGCTTGGAAAGGGGGCCCGGGCTATTGTTGAACAGTCAGAGTCGGCATCCGAGGGAAGGGGGGGGGGCCGGCCGCGGGGTTCGCGTGTGCAGGCGCCCCCCGTCGGCAGCGCCGGCCCGGCGGCCGAGCTCCAGGCCTCCGCCGTGCTCCTCGCCGCGCGCTCCGCTGTGCTCTGCTCTGCTCTTCGCCGCCGCGTACCCCCCCCTGGCCCGCCCACCCTGCCGCTCGCCTCCTGCCCCTGCTCCATGTCGCGCCCCCCGCCTGGTCGTGCCCATCTTCGTCCACCCACCCCTCCGCTTCCTCCGCTCCTCCTCCTCCTCCGCGGTCGCCCTCTCGTCCGCATCTTCCTCGCCATCCTCCTGGTTCTGCTCCTTCCCTCGCCTCCTCCTTCTTGTTCCTGTTGCTGCCCTTCCCTCCTCTCCTCCTCCTCTGCTCCTCCTTGCTGCTGCCCTTCCTCCAGCCCCGCCCAGCCCCTCTGACAGATTTTGGCTCAGGGCGCACACGGCTTCTACTTCAGGGCTACCCAAAGAGGTACCCTCAGGATTTTCAGCCTGTCTTCGCAGAGGAGGACGCTGATACCTCTGCGCCCCTCTCGTCGCCACGGCTCGATCCGCTTCGGGCTCGTGAGCCAGAGCGCGCCCCTGGAACGGTGCGGGCAGCAGCGGCATTCGCGCCTCCTTGCCCCACGGCGCTGGCGGCGCGCAGATCGGGGCTGGCTCGGTGCGTCGCCCTGGTCTCAGGGGGCCTCCTTGCCCCGCCCCCTCCCGAGGTTACGCACGGACTTGCCGTCCCGTCAACCCTATAGGCCTGCCACGACGTGCTCTCAGAACCCACAGAGGAGCAATGCTCTCAGAACAGCAGCCCGATGTGGTCACACAAACCAGGCTCGGCCAGACATGCTTTAAGAACACTTCGCGCAGACCACTGGGCGTTTACTAAACAGCCCTGCCCTGCTTGATTCCTTCTTTGGGTGCGTTTGCTGAACGACTTCGCGCGTCGGGGTTCCTACTGTCGGGGTGGATTCTCTGCCCCCTGTAGAGCATGCTCTGGTGGGCCTCTTGGTGGCCGAGACGCTTCGCCACTGCTCGGCGAGGCGTGCCCGAGGGGCCCGCGGGCCCTCCCGGGCGGCCGCCCGCCCGACGAGAGAGCCCCCGCCCCCAGGGCCTTGTGGGCCCTGGAAACGGCAGGGCCGTTGTTTCACCGTTTCCAAGGACATGCCCCTTGAAAATGGAAACGGCCAAAAAAACGGCGACCCGAAACGGCAACAAAAACTGCTCCAGGCTTGGAACTGGAGCCGGAACAGGTCAAAAGCGGCGTCAGAACCGGCAACAAAGAACAAAACGGAACCGGTCAAGCAACGGCAAAACGGAACCGGCAACAAAAACGGCGTCAGAGCCGGCAACAAAAAACGGCAAATCGGAAACGGTAACAGAAGCCGCCCTGTCGTGTCCAGGGCCCACTGAAGGCCCCAGAGGGGCCTCTCGCCCCGCTCCCGCGCCTCGGCCGCAGGGCCTCGGGGGGCCTCCCTGTCCGCCTGCCCCCCCCGGGCGTGCGGCGCGCGGCCGTGCTCTCGGGCGGCCCGCTCGGCCTCGCGGACGGGGGTCCTCGGCGTGCGGAGCCTCCCCTCCCCCCCTCTGGCCGCTCGGCATCGCTCGGACGTGTGCATGTGAGCGCCATCGGGGAGCGTCGAGGCGAGGAGCATCGGGGAGCCTCTTCCAGGCGAGGGCCCTCGAGGAACACGTCGGGGGATCGCGCCGCGCCGCCGATTGGCATCGCTCGCACGTGTGCATATTTTTCCTTCGGCGAGGACCATCGAGGAGCATCCTTGATCATGTGGCGAGGAAGCCACGCACGAAACCGAAGAAAAACATTGGAGATGGACGTCCGAGCGATGGCCAGGTCGCCGATGCATCGACGACGGCGCCAGTGCATTGCCGATGCATCGCCGATGCATCGGCGATGCATCGGCGATGCATCGGCGATGCGGCGCGATGCTTCGACCCCATTTTATGAGGCCTCCAGCCCAGCAGTTCGAGTAAGGGATCGACCACAGACCTGATCTACCCCAACATCGAACTTTCTTGTCGAGTCCATGGAGATGCGTAGAACTGAGGTAAATTTGCGAACAGTCGACGTATTCGCTTATATATATATACACATACATATATATATATGTATTCGCCGTGACAATTCATTTTGGGGTGAATCAATTCTGTAGTCGATCCCCTGCTCGAGCAATGGGGGTGCGATAAAAGGGGGGGTTGAGGAAAGGTGCGCCTTTCCTGACCCCCAGGGGGACGAAAGGTGCACGACTCCCCCTCCCCGCGTCTGGGAGGCCTCTTGGGGAAGTCTTGGACCCCTTCGCCAAAAAAGAAGGGGGGTCTTAAATTTCCCCCCCCCTCGGAGGTCCAAAAAGGGCCCTCTTGGGCCGCTCTTGGGGCGCTCTTGGTCGCTCTTGGGGCCCTCTTGGGGCCCTCTTGGGGCCCTCTTGGGCCTCTCTTGGGGTTATGTTGGGCCATCTTGGGGCCATCGTGACGCCTTAAAAGCCCATCGGAAGCGGAACAGCGAAAAGGCAAAACACATTGATTGTCCTTACGTTTTGAACCCATTTTGGCCTCTTAGGGGGGTCCTTGGAGGGCTCGGAGGGCACCAGGAACCATCTCGGGGCCGTCTTGGGGCCTCTTGAATGCATGTCGGAGGCTATCTTGAGCCATCTCGAAGTATCTTGGGCCATCTTGGAGGCCACCTTGGCTTTCTAAAACCCTCTTGCAGCTATCTTGGGCCATCTTGGACGCTCTAACCCCTCAGGATCCCTCCTTCCATACCCACGGAGGTGGGGGGAGGTAAACCTTCCGAGCAGGGAAAGGACGAAGGTTGGAAAAGGAAACGCTCTAGACTTCTTGCGCCCAGAGGGCTGGTGGGATTCTGTAGTCGATCCCCCACTGGAAGCTTGGGCCAGCCAGTGGACGCAAGGATCATCGATCCCTGGGCCTCCCAGACAGCTGGGTTCCGAGCAGAGGGGTTCGGAGGATCGCTCCGTATCGGCGATGCGGTTCGATGCAGAGCCCGATCTTCTCCACGCCGATGGCGCCGATGCATCGCCGACCCATCGGCGATGCACCAGCGGTGCGGCGCGATCCTCCGTCCCCATCTACTCCCCTGCCCTCCCCCAGGCTTCCGACGCCATGATCTTTCTTCATGACGTGGACCCGCAGCGGCCTGGACCCATTCCCCGGGATCCGACTCTAATCCCGAGCCGTTCTCTGACGGCTTCGAGGGTCGGTATCAAGGGCCCCCAGAGGCTGAAGATCCATCAGGAGGGAGGGACACACCGACACAACGAGTCGTCGATTCCCAAGAGAATCTTCGAGCTTCTGGGACGAGGGGGGGGTGGGAAGGCGAAGCTCCGGACGGTATGGCAACATGTACATGCGGGGGGTCCCCGGAACTGTGGCTGTATTTATTTGTGTGCCCCTGGGCTCCGCCCGTGTTTTTTTCCCATGGCCCGACGGGGTCTTGTTGTCGTCGTCGTCGTCGTCGTCGTCGTCCTCGTCGTCGTCGTCGTGTTCGCGTCGTCGTGTCGTCGCCTCGTCGTCGTCGTCCTCGTCGTCGTCGTCGTCCTCGCCGTCGTCGTGGTCCTCGTCGTCGTCGTCGTGTCGTCGCCTCGTCCTCGTCGTCGTCGTCGTCGTCGTTGTCGTCGTCGACATCTCGTGGGCCCGCACCGCCTGCCTGGGCGGCGCGCCGCCAGGGGAGGGCCGCGCGCCGCCGCGATGGGCGCCCGCGCCAGCGCCTCGTGCCTCTCGCGGCGCGCGCCCGAGGCCGCCGCGGAGCTGGAGCACTGCGCCGGCCCCACCCCGCCGAGGGGGGTGCCGAAGGCTCGGCGCCGGGGGGGGGCAAGTCGGAAACTGGGGCATAGACATCACCACCGGCGGGTTGTTCTTCAGGCCTGGGACTTCTTTTTGAGGGTCGGGGGCGACGTCGGGGTGGCGTGGTGTGTATACTTCTTTCGCCGTTCTCCCAGGGAAACGATGAAGAATGCGTACACCAGGGTCCCGTATACACCAGGAGCCGCTTTCGTGTGCGGATTTCAGTGCGGGGCCGGCAGGTCGGTGTATAGAGTTCGGCTCCTTAGCACGGGCACCCCTGCTGCCACCCCTCCCTTGTTCCCTCCCTCGCTTTCTTTTCTTTTTTTTGGGATGGTGGGGGCCTCCCAGGTTCGAGGTTTTCGCTTGTTCTCGTCAGCTCCAGGCGGTTTTCCAGCCTCGGGATGCGTCCCAACAGCTGCGCCTCGCCGAGAGCGTTCGGGGGGGGCCTGGATCGTCCCGAACGGCCGCCGAAGGCACGAGTTATGATCTGACCGATACCTCTACCCGTCGCCCGCTTTCCCCTTGTTGGACCTCCTGGGAGACCCTCGTCGCCACCGCTGGACTCGCCTCGAGATCCCGGTCAGACCGCACCCTTGGAGAGGTCTGGGGAGCAGCGGTATCGATGCCCTTTGGTTTCCCCATCGGCGGGCGATGGCTCGGTGCCTTCATGGCAGATGGAGTCAGAGGCTGCACATCTGATTCTGCCCAGGGTCATGTGCATGCTGCAGTCGCATGCGCATGTGAGCCCTCAGTCAGAGGCCAGCAACATATGTACACGTACGCGGTTAGTTTCCCCTGGAGTGCGTGTCAACGCGGACGTTCGTGCAGGCAACACCGCGGAGGGCGTACATGTACATATGTCGTTGCTCGCCCACTCAGGGTCATGCACGTTTGCCCTGATCTGCTCGCACGTGATCCACGGGCCCCTGCGGATGTGCTGCAGTCATGCGCGCATTGTCGCCCCTCGTACTTTCTCGGTCGTGCTGCCGCGCACGTCGGCCCAGTGGAGAAGGCACACAGACTGGCACCCTTCCCGGTGCATTTTGAGTAGGACTCGCTGTCGATATCGCCGCGAATGTGATCCATTCGAGACAGGAGGCCGCCTGCTCAACAGCGGCCGATCGACGCAACAAGATCTGAGCGTTTTCGCTCACGTGTAGTTCAGCATGTTCCCGAAGACACACGCTCGTGAGGTCAGGCGTGAGGTCGGGCGCTCCACGCGGTGGGAGCATCCGCTGACGCGCGCGCACTGCTGCTCTCCAAGACCTGCGACGCCCTGATCTTTTCACTGCGCGGTCTCCGGAAATCCCGACCCTCCTCCTCCTCCTCCTCCTCCTCCTCCTCCTCCTCCTCCTCCTCCTCCCCACTCCTCCCCCTCCCCTCCTCCCCCTCCTCCTCCTCCTCCTCCTCTCCTCCTCCTCCTCCTCCTCCTCCTCCTCCTCCTCCTTCTCCTCCTCCTCCTCCTCCTCCCTCCTCCTCCTCCCTCCTCCTCCTCCCCTCCCCCTCCCCCTCCCCTCCTCCTCCTCCTCCCTCCTCCCCTCCTCCTCCTCCCTCCTCCTCCTCCTCCTCCTCCTCCTCCCTCCTCCTCCTCCTCCTCCTCCCCTCTTCCTCCTCCCCCTCCTCCTCCTCCTCCTCCTCCTCCTCCCGAGCCGTTCTTCCGACGGCTCCGTGGCCCGGAGAGGGCCCCCGGAGGCCGCACCTGGCCAGCCAACAAGCCTCCCGTCGTGAGTGTCCAAGGGCGAGAGCCTGTCTTGCGAGGCCCCCGGAGGCCGAACAGGGCCACCAAGCCTCCCGTCGTGAGTTTCCGTAAAACGACGCGGAGATCGGGACAAAATCGGATCGGGATACCTCGAAATCTCGGAGAATCGGCGGGTTTGGAGGCTGTATTGGGCGCCGCGGCCGCTCCAGAGCGTTCCGGAACGCTCCGAGAGCGCTCCGGAACGCTCTGGAGCGATTCCTCCCGATCCTAGCCCTGTTTTTTTTTTTTTTTTTTTTTTTTTTTTTTTTTTTTTTTTTTTTTTTTTTTTTTTTTTTTTTTTTTTTTCCGAAGACGCGACCCTGTCCAGGGGGGGCCCTCGGAGGCCGAACGCGGCCAGAGCCCCCGGCCAGAGCCTCCCCGTCGTGCCGTCTGTAGGCGGCGCGATCACGTCTGGGCCGCCCTGCTGGCCGAGGCGATGGGCAGTGCCGCGCAGATGCGCGCGAGGCGAGTGTGCCCCTTGTTTGCGTAACGCTAGGTCGGGCGTGCCCCTCTACAGGAGGAGCATTCACAAATTATCCCAGTGCGACCCTACCTAGGAGTTGGAGCATTTGGGAAAGCAACATCTACATCTACACCGACAGAGCTACATTTACATCTACATTTACATCCACACCTGCATCTACATCTACATCAACATCAACAGCGAGACTCACATCTACATCTACACCTACATCTACACCTACATCTACATCTACATCTACATCTACATCTACATCTACATCTACATCTACATCTACATCTACATCTACATCTACATCTACATATACATCTACATCTACAGCTACATCTACATCTACATCTACATCTACATCTACACTTTCGCATTGGCTTTGCTTTTGCTTTGCATTGCCTTCGCTTTTGCTCTTGCCTTTGCTTTTGCCTTTGCCTTTGCCTTTGCCTTTGCTTTTGCTTTTGCTTTCGCTGTTGCTTTTGCTTTTCTTTTGTTTTTGCTTTTGATTGATTTTGTTTTTGCGTTGACTGCAGGTCCAGCTTTGCGTTGCTTGTGCTTTGCTTTGCTGTTGCTGCTGTTGTTTTGCTACTACGCTATGCAATGCTATGCTATGCTATGCTATGCTATGCTATGCTGCGCTATGCTATGCTATGCTATGCTTTGCTATGCTGCGCTATGCTTCGCTATGTTATGCTATGCTATGCCAGGGTACGCTCTTCTGCGCTGGGTTATGCAAGGCTAAGCTATGCTATGCAATGCTATGATGCGCTATGCTATGCTATGAGATGCTATGCTGCGCTATGCTATGCTATGATGTGCTATGCTATGCTATGCATAGGCTGTGCTATGCTATGCTATGCTGCGCTATGCTATGTTATGCTATCCTATGCTATGCTGCGCTATGCTATGCTATGCTATGATATGCTGTGCTGTGCTATGCGATGCTGCGCTGTGCTATGCTAAGCAGTGCTATGCTATGATATGCTATGCTCTGCTGCGCTGTGCTATGCTATGCTATGCTGTGCTGTGCTATGCTATGCTATGCTATCATATGCTTGGCTATGCTATGATATGCTGTGCTGTGCTAATGCTGCGCTGCGCTATGCTGCGCTGCGCTAAGCTAAGCTAAGCTAAGCTAAGCGATGCTAAGGTAAGCTAAGCTTAGCTAGGCTAGGCAAAGCTAAGCTAAGCTAAGCTAAGTTAAGATGAGATAAGCTAAGCTAAGCTTAGCTAAGCTAAGCTGGGTGAACCCAGGGGGCGCAACTGGGGGAACCGCGGGGCGGATACTGGGGGAACCGCCCAGGGCGAGGAGCACCGCCCGGCCACTTTAAGCCCAGCGAGTAAGAACCCTTTAGGCAGAGCCTAGGTAGGGAAAAAGTTACAAAATAGTCAGGGGACGACTTTTCCACTATTTTTGAGTATTTTGGAGTTTATTTTTGGTCTTATAAATCAATTTTTGGTAGGGGGGCGTGCCCGACCTAGGCGTAACGCTCCATTGCCAAACTGATGGGAAGGGCTGCTTCAATGGAGCCAACGATTCGCACTCCTGATCCTGAAGCGATCGTGTGTTCGACACGGCATCCGAGTCTCGGCGCTCCGGCGCCCCCGCCGAGCTCTTAGAGCTCCCCCCAGGGGAACCTCGGCGCCTTGCCTCGCCTTGCCTCACCGAGCGTGTTCCACTACAGTCGGGGCCCTGAAGAAGGAACCCTTCTCGTTGGGGAGGGGCTCCGCGTTCCTTAGTGTTTCACAGCTTGCCTCAGGCTTTCCTTATGTTTTCGACAGGAAATCGAAGGTTAACTGATGGAAAACAGGGGCCTCGTTCCTTATTTAGGGTTCCTTAGGTCAACGCCCCGACTGTACTCGCAAAGTGCCTACTCGCAAACGTCAGAAAACAAACAGGTCTGCATCGATGCCATTCGTCGCACACCTCCCACGGCGGACCCATGCCACTTGCGAGCAGTGACTCTGCGAGCAGCGGATCGCGCTTGTCTGCCCTCCACCTCCACCTTCCATACCTTCCGACCTCCGCGGAAGGCGCGGAAGGTGATGCACTGAAATTGTTGAAAGCCTCGGGAAGCTCAGGATATTCAGCGTTTCACGAAACGCAAGAGTGTGGAAGGTCAGCACGGAAGGTCTGGAAGAATGCGGGCGAGGGCTTAGGAAACGACAGGGCCGTTTTTTTCCGGTTCCGTTTTGCCGTTGTTTTGCCGGTTCCGACGCCGTTTTTTTAACGGTTCCGTCGCCGTTTTTTGACCAGCTCCAGCTCCGGTTCCAATCCCGGAGCCGTTTTTATGCCGCTTCCGGTCGCCGCTTTCTTTTGCCGTTTTCATTTTCAAGGGACATTTCTTTGTGGAAGCGGTGAAAAAACACGGCCCTGCCGTTTCCGGGGCCCACACAGGGCGAGGGCATTGCCCTGCGGGCGAGTGGGGGATCGACTCCGGAGTAGTCCCGCCCCAAACTTGGGCCCCTCCTCGAGTCTGCGAATGCTCTGCGACGGGTCTGCGCCCCTGCCCTGCAGATTCGAGGGGGACGTGTGCGCCCTGGGGGTGCTACGCTGAGGTCGGGCCCGTCCCTCTACCCAGACCCCCGACGTCATGATTTTTTCATGACGCGACCCCCAGAGTTCTGGACCTCTTCGCCGGGACCGGTTTTTCACCGCGAGTCGTTTTTTGACGGTCCCGAGGGCCGGTAAGGGCCCCCGGAGGCCGAAAACATAGAAAAACCTCCCGTCGTGATTTTTTCGTGACTCGAGGGGGTCTGGGTACAGGAGGGCCCCCCCGGGCGCCCAGGTCGCGGGCTCGAGGAGCGCCCCGGTGCTCCTGCCCACCCGCCCGCACGACGACGGCGACCTCCCGCGGGCCGGCCTCCACGGCCCCGGGGACGCGGCGGCCGCCGCGCGCCCCGCGAGGGCGCGCCGGGCCGGCCGCCACGTCACGTTCGGCGGGGAGGAGCGTCGGGGCGATCGGCGCGGGTACTCCAGCTTTCGTGGTAAAAGGGAGGGGGTCTGGACCCTCCAAGACAAGCCATTTCAGACCTCCCCCGTGGGAGAGCCCTCCAAAGCATCGTCCCCGGACCCCCCAGGCCCTCCAAGACAGCCTGGAAGAGACCCCCCCCGAAATGAGACCCCCCTCCCTTTATTACGGAATCTGGAGTACAGAAACCCAGAGATCCAACGCATTGCAAAAAGCAGGGCGGAGGTGGCCCTTCTAGGGGCCCTCGCCGGGCCCTGGGGCCGTCAACAAACAACGACTCGGGACGAACAAAAACTGTCCTGGGGAACGTGTGCATCCAGGCCTCCTAGATGGGGTCGGAGTAGATTGGGTCGCAGGATCGCGCCGCATCGCCGATGAATCGGCAATGCGGCTCGATGCGGAGCCCGATTTCCTTCACGTCGACGTCGCCGATACATCGCCGACGTCGACGATGCGTCGCCGTTGCATCACCGATGCATCGCCGATGCATCGACGATGCATCGCCGATGTATCGGCGATGCGGCGCGACCCTCCGACCCCATCTACTCGGACCCCATCTAGGAGGCCTCTAGTACAGAAAGAAGAGGTACGATGCCCAACGGCTGTTCCTGTTCGTTTTGAGCAGGGCTCGCGGTTCGCGCCGCCGTGGACGTCGTGAGGCCAGACCCCCTCGAGTCATGAGCAAAATCATGGCGGGCGTTTTTTTTTTTTTTTTTTTTTTTTTTTGTTTTTGTTGTTTGCTATTTTCGGCCTTCGGGGGCCTTTGTCAGGCCTCGAGGCTGTCAAAAACCGGCTCGGGATGAAAAACTGGGAAGAGGTCGAAACAGCCGGGGTCCACGTCATGAAAAAGTCATGACGTCGGGGTTCGGGGACACCGATACCTCGGATGCTCGTTTTCGGCGGAGGAAGAGGTGCCCCTGCTGCTACCTCCCGCCGGGTGTCTCCTTGTTGGGCAACCTGGGAGGCCCTCGTCGCCACCGCTGGATTCGCCTCGAGCTCCTCGTCAGAACGCACCCCGGGAGAGATCCGGGGAGTATAGCGGTATCGGTACCTTCCGGTAGGAGTGGAAGAGAAGAAGACACTATTCGACTATAGACGCAAGAGTGACCTTTCATCGGAGTGACCTTCGATTCGGGCCCAATGGGGTCCCCCGATCGCCGAACGCGAAGAGGTAGGTAGCAGCGGCTTGCGCGCCCGGGTTTGGCCACGCCGCGTCCCCCGTTCAGCTGCGCACCAAAGGTCACACTTGCCAAGGGTCACTCTTTCGTGTAGCCGAAAAACCTTAGGTGCTCATTTGGGGGACCTCTCTGCCCAGACCCCCTCGCGTTGTGAAAAACTCACGACGGTGTTTTTTTCAATATTTTCTGCCTCTGAGGGCCCTTGCCAGGCCTCGGGACCGTCAAACAACGACTCGGGAGGAAAATGGGTCCCAAGGAAGTGCTCCAGACTTCGGGGGGTCGATGTTAAGAACAATCACGACATCGGGGGCCTCGGGACACCGATCTCTTAGATGTTCGTCTTCGGGGGAGGAGAATCGGGGGCTCCTAGATTGGGTCCGAGTAGATGGGGTCAGAGGATCGCGCCGTATCTCCGATGATGCGGCTCGATGTGGAGCCAGTGTTTGCTCATGCTGACGTCGCAGATGCATCGCCGATGTCGGCGATGCATCGGCGATGCATTGGCGATGCATTTGCGATGCGTCGCGATCCTTCGACCCCATCTACTCAGACCCCATCTCGGATGCCTTTAACTGAGGAGGAGATTTTTGTTTATCTTCGATGCTCGTTTGGGGTACCTCTGCCTAGATCCCCTCGAGTCATGAGAGAATAACGGCGGGAGGTTTTTCCGCTATTTTCGGCCTCCGCGGGCGTCAAAAAACGATTCACGATAGAACACCTGTCCCGTGGAAGGAGTCGAGACCCCTGGGGGTGGACGTTGTGAACAAAGTCGCAACGTCGGGGGTTTGGGTGGGGTCCGCCCAACAGATCTGTTCGATTCTGTTTCGATTCTGGCTCGGCTCCAGCTCGGCTCCAGTTCGGCTCAAGTTCGACAGGAGGAGGAGGAGGAGGAGGAGGAGGAGGAGGAGGAGGAGGAGGAGGAGGACGAGGACGAGGACGAGAACGAGGACGAGGGCGAGGCGGAGGAGGAGGATGACGAGGTGGAGGAGAGGAGGAGCAGGAGCAGGAGGAGGAGGAGGAGGAGGAGGAGGAGGAGGAGGAGGAGGAGTTCGACGCAGCATCGACGCCTGAGTGGAGCGAGTGGCTCCAGGACAGCCCCCAGGACGAGCATCCAAGGCACCGCTGCCCTGGCTCGCTGTCGCCCTCCCTGGGCCTCGTGGGACGCCCGCGGCGCCACTGCCGGACGCGTCTCGGAATGCTGGTCTTTCGTCGGCCCTGTCCCCGGACAGAAGGAATACTCCCAAATAGGCAAAAAATAGTCGGGGGGCTATGTTGTGACAATGATCGAACATTTTTGGAATAGTTTTGGAGTATTGCGAAGGCCTTACGGCCAGTGCCGCCGACCCTGAAGACGACGAGGATGAAAACGAGCGGGGGGGTAGGAGGCGGATGAGGAGGAGTTGGGGGGGAAGACGAAGGGTGGAGGAGGCGGATGAAGGAGGAGGAGGGGGGGCAAGGATGAGGAGGTGGCAGAGGAAGAGCAGGAGGAGGGGGAGCAGGGGAGGAGGAGGAGGAGGAGGAGGAGGAGGAGGGAAGAGGAGGAGGAGGAGGAGGAGGAGGAGGAGGAGGAGGAGGAGGAGGAGGAACAGCAAGGTGGGATAGGAGGAGGAGCCGGAGCTGGAGCGTCCTAAATTTGATTTGACCTGTCCTTAGTTGCACGTTGTGGGATTTTGGAACCTTCTGATTTTGCTGATATTACTGAGGAGGAGGAAGAGGAAGAGGAGGAGGAGGAGGAGGAGGAGGAGGAGGAGGAGGAGGAGGAGGAGGAGGAGGCGTTATGGCATTCCGGGGTTTTTGGGAAACAGCTTTTCATGGTTTAGGGGGCGCTCGAGGGGGAAACGTATCTGGGCGGCGTCCTTTGGCCGTCTGGGGGCCCCCTTCGGCCGTCCTTAGGCGTTCTTGGGCTGTCCTGTAGGGCTTGGGCCGTCTTGGGGCGCTCTTGCGAATCCGTCGTGGCGAACCCACGCTCCTCCAGCGCATCTACAAAGGGCCCCTGTAAAAGTCGCAAACGGGGGATGCGAATTTGACCCCCCCCCCGGGATCCTCCCCCCCTCAAAGGGAAGGGACTTCCTTTTGACGTGACTACGACGTGGGTCGATTTTCCTCTGTCCCCGGACTCCTCACCCCGACGACGGGAGAGTGCTCTCTAACCCCGACGGGGAAGGATAAACAGAAAAGGCGTCCCGTCGACGGGAGCAGATAGACACCCCACACACGCCGACAGGGTCGGCGGATTTTTCATTTTTCGCGCAAAATCCTCCTGTAGGGAGACAGGCCCGACCTATTGCTGGTCAGAGCGCGCCCCAGGAGAGGTCCGGCAAGTGGCGGTATCGTCTAGGCTTCCCAGACTCGGCCACGTGCAGAGGGGGGTAGGGGGGGGAGAGGCTTCTAAGAAGGAGGCGGTTGCTTCTTAGAACGCGCCGGCGCTACATCTCTAGACAGGGCCCGTGCCTTCTAGAAGCGGCGTTCTTCTAAGAAGCCTTTACCCCTCCCCCTACTCCCTTGTGTGCGCCGCCAACAGATGGGGCCAGAGCAGAGGGGATCGGAGGATCGTGTCGCATCGGTGTGGACTCCGACGTCGCCCGCTGCATCGCCGACGTCGGCGCGGTGTCGCCGGTGCATTGGCGATGCGGCGGGATCCTCTGACCCCATCTTTTCGGACCCCATCAACGGTGGAAACCCGTGCCAACAAACACCCTGTCTGCCTCCACGGTGCCCTGGATATCTTGGGTTTCGATGGTTTTGCGATTGAAGTCGCAACCTGTCCACACCAAAAGTCCATGGACGTCCTGGGATCTCAGGGTTGGGTTTCTTGTGGAAGGTTTCTTGTGGTCGAGCTCCTGTAGGAGGCCTCTGGCTAGGCGGCGAGCGCGGGGGGGAAGTGAGAAGGGGCGGGCCTTCTCAGAAGGCTCGGAAGTCCCCAAGCCTCCTTAGAAGTTTCCCAAGCCTCTCCCGAAGACAAAGGAAACCTCTCAGAGGGCGCGAGGGCTTCCGAGAAGTCCCGCCGCCTTCTGAGAAGGCCTTCTCCTTCCCGCTCGCCGCCAACTGTTGGGGGAGCGTAAGACCCGGGTTTGCCAGGACTCGGGTTCGCCATCGCTTTTTGACGACCGCGCCTCGGATTTTGACGAGGAGGAGTTTCGTGGGATGTCTGCAGCGGGAGGCCTCGTCAAAATGCAGGCTCGGCCTCGTCATTCTTTGACGACCTCGTCGGGGATCTCCGAGTCCCCTGTACCCAGGTCTTACGTTCCCCTGAGACTGGCTCCCGTGTCGGTCTTCTCCTCGTCCCCCCCGAGGAGCCTCTCCCGAAGACAAAGGAAACCTCTCAGAGGGCGCGAGGGCTTCCGAGAAGTCCCGCCGCCTTCTGAGAAGGCCTTCTCCTTCCCGCTCGCCGCCAACTGGCTCCCGTGTCGGTCTTCTCCTCGTCAAAATCCGAGGGCGCGAGGGCTTCCGAGAAGTCCCGCCGCCTTCTGAGAAGGCCTTCTCCTTCCCGCTCGTCGCCAACTGGCTCCCGTGTCGGTCTTCCCCTCGCCTCCCCCCCGAGGAGCTGAAGCACTTCGAGGTGACCGTGGGGCGCATGCGGAGCGTCCGCTGAGGCTGCGGCCGCCGGGGGCCTCCGCGCCGTCCGGAGCTCGGCGCCGCGGCGGCCACGCCGCGGGCGGGGCAGGAGTCGGGGGCCACGGCAGTCTTGGCATCGCTCGGACGTGTGGCTTTTTTTTTCTCGGCAAGGACCACCGAGGAGCATCCAGGATTTTTTCATATATATGTATATATATATATATATATATATATTAAAGCACGCAGGCACGCAAGAAAACACGCACAAAACCGGCACGAACACCAGGAGTGGACGTCCGAGCGATGGCAAGTAGTCTCAAGTCGGGCCCGTCCCTGGGGGGAATGTGCAAACAGAGTCAGAAGATTGTCTGGGGGCGATTTTTCTACCATGTTAGATCCTTTTGAGAGTATTTTTCGACCATTTTTTCTTTTTCGTCCTAAATCCGTCTGTAATGGGACAGGCCCGACCTAACGGCAGTCGAAGAAGATACAACGACATAAACGTAAACTTTTCACGCTCCGCGCGGACTGCGCTGGGACGCCCCTGGACGGCTCCTCCGGCTCGGTGGTCCCTGCGCGGATCCAAGAAATCCGCGCGGAGCGCCAAAAGGTTTATGCTTGATCCTGCTCTAGGTATTGGGGGGAGGCTTGGGGGGGAATACATCGACCCCTCATTTCGGCGGTGAGCGGGGGAGGGGAAGTGAGAAGGAGAAGGCCTTCTCAGGAAGGCGGGGCTTCTCAGAAGCCCTCCAGCCTTTGAGAGGTTTCGGGTGTCTTCGGGGAAGGCTGAGAAAACCTTTCAAAAAGCTGGGGGACGTCCGAGCCTTCTGAGAAGGCCCGCCCTCTTACTTTCCTCTCGGGCTCGCCGCCGATAATTACCAGCTTGAGGCACATCCCCGTTCCTATGTTTGCCATCGCCCTGCCTCGTTGCCAGTCTCGGGGATTTCTTCAGTTTCTGAGGGCACATCCCTGAGATTGCCACCGCCTCGGTTTTGACGATTTTAGGGATAGGGACAAATTCGAGGCTGGTTACCCGAGTCGCTCATTCATCGCCGATAGGGGCACAATGGCCTGCACGGCTCAGGAGCGTGGAGACTTGCAATCGGTATTGCCAGCGTCTCTTGCGAGCAACCCTGGACACAAGATCCGGGCAGCCCCTGTTCAGGCGCGAAAGGCGCCAGCGACTAGTTTCGCAAGCAGCGGCTACATCGAGGCTCCATGATAATGCTAGTTTCTCACAGGAGTCCATTTGTTGTAGAGTTGAGCGGTGCCTCATAAATGATGATCGCACTATTGTTGTACTTTGCGTTTGCGTGCCAGTTTATATTGTCTACTATATCCTGGTGATGCGCAACATGCTCAGTCAATGTAGGCGTTTATCCACATATTGTAGTCCACACAAGATGTGCCATATTATTTCGCTTCGGGTATTAGGTGTCGTTTCTGTGGTGCGTGATGGGGTTGCTTCGCTAGGTGCTCATCGACCCCAATGTTTCGCTCTCCTTGCTGATGCGGTAGATTATTGTGACGCACGCAGTTTGTTTGGAACTACACGACATGATGTGTAGAACTCATTCTGGCCTCTGGGGGTGGTTGTTGGCTGTCTTCAACTTCGTTATACGTGCGTTCAGCGTTTATGCGCCCCGTCGGAAACGCTTGATGCCTCAGACGAGTCAACCTCCGTCGAGTTCTGCAAGCTGTGGAAGACGCCTGCGGCGAACGACTTCCGACCCCTACCTTCAAAGACGCCCATGTGGCCACCCGTTGGGCTGAAATGTTTGCAAAGCTAATGAACTTCTCCCGGCCGTTGTAGAGCCCATTCGGGGAACACTTCGGGGAGGAAGAGAGGAATAGAGGAGGATGAGGAGGAGGGGACGGACGCAGAGGAGGAAGGAGGAGGAGGAGGGGGAGGAGGAGGAGGAGGAGGAGGAGGAGGAGGAGGAAAAGAAGCAGGAGGAGGAGGGCGAGGACGATGAGGAGGGAGGGAGGAGGGAGGAGGAGGAGGGAGGAGGAGGAGGAGGGAGGAGAGGAGGAAGGAGGAGGAGGAGGAGGAGGAGGAGAGGAGGGAGGGAGGAGGAGGAGGAGGAGGAGAGGGAGGGAGGAGGGAGGAGGAGGGGGAGGGGAGGGGGAGGGGGAGGAAGAGGAAGGGGAGCGTGGGGGCGGGCCTCGGAGCTTGTCAGCAGCCGTGCGAGGACTCGGCGAACCGACCTCCCCGTGCACCGCCATCCGGCGGGCAGGGGCGTGGGAGGTGACTCGTCCGGACGGCGAGGCTGCCAGCCTGAATCTGACACAGCAGCATACAACGCTGCAACCGGACCACGAGCGTGGCGCCAACGATCAGAGGGTGCTGCATTCCCAAGCCTATCGTGCAAGGACTCCCGGACTCTCCGCACTTCTGCCCGCAGACCTTATAATGCAAACCTAAACTTCAGAAGCCAGGGAGACCTGTTCGACTCAAACACGTAATATCGGGCCACCTTTGGTATCATGCAACAATCTCAGAACATTGGTGGTGCATGCTCCCGATGGCCAGACTCCAGAACAGGAGGCCGCGGAGGACCTGAACTGCTTAACCGCCCCTTGTGGAAGTCCCAAGACAGGATGTCCCCACTATCCAACCGCCAAGACTGCAGGTTCGAAAACCCTCCGAGAAGCGCCACGCACAACTTAGGAAAGGTATGCACATCTACGCTTGCATCCTCACCATTTCAAGGCCCGTGCAAGCTTGCAAGGGCCTTGCAAGGGCCTTGCCCATCGCTCAGACAGGCCCTTCAAAGCTCTTGCATCCTTACCGCAGCATCCTTATGCTGCGACTTGATTGTAAACCACGTGAGCGCCCCAGAGCTGGTGGGATTTTCCGCGCGAGTTCGCTTTGGAACATCTCACCAGGCAGTCCATCTGCACTCTACTCCCCCCATCGTCATGTTGCCGCGGTCGCGGATATTCGTTCGTATTTCAGCAGTGCGGTGACATACAAGAGTAGGGTACACCAGCGTACATCACGCGATGCAACCTTGAATCACAGGACGCCAGGCTCATACACCAATCGAATCAGGCGGCTTTGTTCTCAGTGCCTCGGATGACAAAGTGCAGCTGCTACAGGATTGTACTACACTACGGTATACTTACACATGCAACTCGTGCATGACCTGTGGTCAGCGATGGCCCGAACAACATCAGCGTCCATGAAGCTAGGAGGATCAACACACACGTAGGGCGGGAGTGAGACCGGTCGGGAGGAGAGTTGAAGCGTGTGGTTCACCGAGGATGTGTTGTCGTCTCTCGAAGCAATGAGCGCACAAGATGCACGCAGCACATCCCGGCATGCCATACTACAGTATTGCCTAACACATCATACAGGCAGCGTGGTGCGTACCGTGGCTGCCCGTACATTACAGTATACACTGGTGCAGCATACTTGCGAATACTATGTCGTCGTAACTGATGTGCGCCCTCACACCGAGAGTCATATCGTATCACAGTAGAGAGGTCTAAGAGGCGTACACCACTCCGTCGACCCCACCCCAGAAGAGGATTCGGTGCGGACTCTGGTGTCATATGTGTTGCTTTCCGTTACCCGTGGTGTTGCTTGCGCGTAGTTGTTGGCATGTTGCTTTCTTTCTTCCGCGCCTGTTGTGGGGTTTCTTGTTTTTTTTTGAGGGGGCTCGGGGGCGGCTTGGTGGGAGCCTTTTCAGGCTCCCTGAAGCTCTGGGGGGGGGGGGCCGTCTCGGGGCTTCTTGGGGTCCTCTTTGGGGGCCTTCTGGGGGGAGGGGGGTTTGGAGGGCCACATCGTGGGAGAGGGGGAGGGGGGGGGGGGCGGGCGGCCCAGCGCCGGTGATATTGTCTGTTGATCCTCTGGCGCGCAGCGGTCGTTGCCCCCCCCCCCTTTTCCCCCAGGTGGGGGGGGGGGCGGGTAAAGATAGCACGTGGGGAAGGGTGGTCCGGACCCCCCCCCCAGACATGGGGGCCAAAAGAACACACACCACCACCACCACCACGTCGATTCCTCCTCTCTCCTCTTTCCAGCGAGAGGGAGGGGGGGAGGGAGAGAGTTGGCAGAGGTGGATATTTTTGGGCCCCCTGAAGACATGCTTGTGTTCGAAGGCATGTTGGGTTGCTCGCAGGTGCTCCGCAGGCGCTCCGCCAGTGCTCTCGGGCTCTGCGCGGGCGATCGGCTCGCAGGACCGTGCCGTGCTCGCAGGCACGGCGCGCTGTTCGCGCGTGTCCGGTGGAGATCACGTCCTCCTCCTCCTCCTCCTCCTCCTCCTTCTCCTCCTCCTCCTCCTCCTCCTACCCCCGCCCCGACGTGCCCCAACTCCGCCCAAGCGTTAGTACCGTCACCTGGGCCCACCCCCGAGGGTAACGACCGCCAGACGGGAATCGTGTACAAAAGGCACGATCGATTCAAGAAGTCCGTGCGGATGAGCGAAGTCCTAGGCACATGCACGTCTGTGTCCACGTCGACGTCCGTTCTTCTCCTTTCTGTTTTGCAGCTCCTCGCCCAGCACCTCGCCCTCGGGTAGATCGTGCCGGTTCGAGTGCGGGCCATGCAAGGTCTATACCATCTTTGCGGTTTCCTGGCTCATGGGTTGGGGCCCCCGCGCCAGTGCAATGTTTGGGACGAGTGTACAGCTTGCAGTTTTGGAGCGCCTGGCGTGGGTCTGGTCTGCAATTGAAAGCGGGCCGACCGTCATCCTGGAAGGATGAGGGAGCGGTGGTATTGTTTTTTGTTCACGGAAGTGTATGTGGCACCCTGTGTCGTCGCCACCTCTTGGTCGGTGACCCTTCTCAACATCTTCCTCGATCTCGTTGAGCCGCTGCTCCTTCTGCCTCCCCTCCTCGTTCCTCCTCCTTCCGTGGCCACTGGCTCAAGCGGTTGTGGCCCAAGTAACACTCTCACCGTGAACTACCCTGTAGGGCACCAGACGATCAAGTCCTACAAGCAGCATGCGAGTCTTTGTCGCGGCGGCGTGCGTGGCGGCGGCTTCCGCGCGTGGCCTTGACCGCTCAAAGCACGTGGACAAAAGCATCTGGCAGTCAACGGTGAGGAGTCCGCTGCCTCACACCACCATCGAAGAGCACGAGCTGCCGAGTGAGTGGGACTGGCGCAATGTGTCTGGACGCAATTTTGTTACCATTCAGATGTTGCCAAAGGTGTCCCTGCCCCAAGGTGTCACGAGGATTTCCGGTGAGGCCGACATGGCCTCCAGAGCACCCGTGACGAGGTTCAGACGGCCTCAGGGTCTCCAACTTGGCACGACAAGCTTGGGACGCCGTGGGTCAGGGGCACCTTCGGCAGCCTCCGAACCATGGACCTCAACCAGCACATCCCCCACTACTGCGGGTCGTGCTTCCTGCACGGCGCGATCAGTTCCATCTCCGACCGAATCAAGATCGCGCGGGGGGGTGCTTGGCCAGACATTCTGGTCTCGCGCCAGGAGGTTATCAACTGCGCCCCCAACATGGCTGGGAATTGCGAAACCGGTGGGTCGCCAGAGGGGGTGTACAGGTACATGCACGAGTACGGGGTGCCTGACGAGACGTGCCAGCCCTATCAGGCAGAGAATCAGCACTGCAGCGAGATGCGCAAGTGCATGAACTGCGATGTTCCCGATGGCAACTTCTCGCGCGAGTGCTACCCAGTGGCCCACTACACCAAGTACTTCGTCGACGAGTACGGGGCGATGGAGATGAAGAGTCCAGTCCACGAGATGAAAGCCGAGATATTCAAGCGGGGGCCGATCACCTGCTCCATGGACTGCGTCAGCCTTCGCACCCTGCCGCGCGGTCACATCTCCAACAAGACTCAGCCAGATGGCGCTGAGTGGGACCTCGACCACGTCGTCTCCCTCGCGGGCTGGGGCGTAGACGCCGAGACAGGTATGGAGTTCTGGATCGTGCGCAACAGCTGGGGCACTTACATGGGCGACGGCGGCTGGCATCGGGTGGGTCCCATCGGCAAGAACCCACTGGGTCTTGAAATGGATTGCTCGTGGGCCACTCCCAGGCTGGACTTTGCCCCGAAGGACTATGGCCCAGACGACAGGAATCATGATTTCCCCACCTACGAGCAGAAGGCGGATGACAGGCAACTTGTGATCTGAGAGTGGGCGCCTCACAGTCGCGGTGAGTATCCTCAGAGCCGTTTTCACACGAGGCCGAATCATACTTCGCCAACATGTTTCTGGCGACGGCAAGTTTTTACACGGAGTTTGTAGCAGACAGCAGCGGCCCAGCAGCGGCACCGAGGGGTCGCCCTTGCTCGCTGGCTGCTGATTTGTTCGAGCCTGCAACATTTGAGGCCAGGGTTACGCTGGCACCGACCCTGGCAGGAGCGTGTTTCTCTATTGCATGGGGCATAATGGGCATTATAGCCCTCGGCCCCCCCCGCCTCCCCTCCCCCAAAAATGTAACGCCCCTCGCCCCCCAGTGCGCTCCGGGCACTGCCGCCGTGCGCACGGCGGGGGGCGTCGCATTATACCCCCCCTGTGGCCCCTCCCCCCCCCCCTCTCCCCTTATAGTGCCCAGTATCGCCGAAAGTGAAGACGCGCGCTCCAGCAGTGCTCCGATTGGGCGGGCGGCCACGGGTCATGGGCCTGTTTTCCACCACCACCACCACCATAAGTTGGAGGGGGGAAGGAGGTAGAGGATGAGGAGGAGGACGAGGAGGAGGAGGAGGAGGAGGAGGAGGACCCCCTCCCCCTCCCACTTATGGTAGTGGTGGTGGAAAACACGCTCACCAACGGGGGGGGCAACTGACGCGAGGGGGATATAGAGGCAGCAGGCAGGTGGCCCCGAGGGGCCCCGAACTGCTGCCACCGCGGGCCCCACGGGTGTGCGAGAACGGCGCCCGCCACGTCACCCCTTGGCATCGCCCGGACGTGTGCGTTTTTCATTCCCTCCACCTCCTCCTCCTCCTCCTCCTCCTCCTCCTCCCCCTCCTCCTCCTCCTCCTCCTCCTCCTCCTCCTCGAGGAGCATCCTTGATCATTTGGCGAAACAGCCACGCACGAAGCCGAGCAAAAACACAGGAAACGGGCGTCCGAGCGATGGCCAGGCCCCCGCTGCTTCATCCCCGTTTCTATCCTGAAGTCGGGCGTGCCCCTCTGCAGGAGGAGTGTGCAAACCTGGTCAAACATAGTCAGGGGACGAGGTTTCGACTCTGTTCTGAGCATGTGTGAATATTTTCCGACGATCTTCAAGTTTTCGTCCTAAGTCCGCCTGTGGGTGGACACGCCAGAGTTTACCCCAGACCCTCGACACCGGGATCCATTCATGACGCGGGCCCCTCTCGGCCCGTTCCCCAGGACTGGCTTCTTGTCCCGAGGCCTTGGTTTGGACAGCCGAAGATGTTTCAACTCCGTCGTTGTGTTTCGCGGCGCCAGAGGGTCGGAGCTTCTTCACCCCATTTTGATTGCCCCCCATCAACGGACGCCCGATCAGAAGCTGGTCAGCAGAGACCGAGGGCCTGCTCTCGACGTCGCGTCCACTCGCGCGGCCATCGTCCGATCGCGGCGCGTCGGCGCACGAAGCGCGCGTCCGCCTCCCGCTTGATTCGGCGGCGAGCCCGAGGGGGAAAGCGAGGAGGGGCGAGGCCTCCTGGGTCCCCGTGGCTCAGAACATTCGCTTCTCCGTTCGGGTCCCCCCTCGGAGGCTCCAAGGTGGCGTCTTGCGGCCCTCTTGGGCCGCTCTTGGAGCGCTCTTGGGCGCTCGTGGGGCCCCCTCGGGGCCCTCTGCGGCCCCTCTCGGGCCCGTCTTTGGTCGTCCTGGGGCCATCTTTGAGGCCCGCAAAAGCCCGTCGGAAGCGCAACAGCGAGAAGGCAAGCGCATGGGTTTTCTTTAGCTTTCGGAGCCGTGTTGGCCTCTTGGGGGGGTCCTCGGAGGGCTCGGCGGGCATGGGAAACCGTCTTGGGTGCATCTTGAGGCCTCTTGGATGTGCCTCTTGGAGCCATCTTGAGGAATATCGCCCCATCTTGAACACCAAGCAGTACCCTCTGACACATCCCCCCCTCCTTCCAGGCCCAGGGAAGTGGATACGGGGAGGGGTCAGGATTTTAGCAGGGAGAAGACACAAGTTCGTTATACCACCTACGCCCAGAGGGCTGGTAGGATTCCCACACCTGTTCGGTGTAAGAGTTGTAACAGCCATTGTGTATTAGTTGTGCTAGGTGCCCCAGCAACACGTGTCAATCCTAGCAACTTTACAATCGTGGGGTTCGAACAGTGTCTCAGGGATGTCGCTCGCCTGGCCTCTTTGCTGGCACCTTTCGAACTCATCTACTTCTTTCAAAACTCTACGACGCATTTCGAATACTTACAGTTGCTAAGTCAAACTATGTTATTGAAGCATGCTTGAGCTGGTTGGAATATCCGTAAGGGTTTCGCCCCATGCCGCCGGCCCCCTGTCTCGGATAATGGGAAATGCAAAAGCTGAAATAAGAGGTCTTGGCGCCGCCGTGAAGCAGTGTCGGGACCTGTTTGTTTTTCGTCCCTGATCCTACGGATCTGCGTCAGGGGTGCCACCGAATTTCAGAAATGAGGCAAATCCCGTGTGTTTTTGGATTCTGACCCTACGGATCTGCGTGAGGGGTGCCGCCGAATTTGAGACATGTGGCAACTCCCTTGTGTTTTTGGACCCTGACCCTGCCGATCAGCCTGAGGGGTGCCACCGAATTTCAGAAGTGTAGCAAATCCCGTTGGTTTTCGGACCCTGACCCCGCCGATCTGCTTGAGGGGTGTCATCGAGTTTCAGAAATGTTGCAACTCCCATATGTTTTTGGACCCTGACCCCGCCGATCTGCGTGAGGGGTGCCAGCAAACTTGAGAAATGTAGCAAATCCTTCGTGTTGTTGGACCCTGACCCCGCCGATCTGCGTGAGGGGTGCCATCGAATTTCAGAAATGTGGCAAATCCCTTGTGTTTGTGCACCCTGACCCCGCCGATCTGCGTGAGGGGTGCCGCCGAATTTGAGAAATGTGGCAAATCCCTTGTGTTTTTGCACCCTGACCCCGCCGATCTGCGTGAGAGGTGTCAATCTTTACCCACCCCAGCATTTCAGAGCACATGCTCAGGGCGTGCTAAACCTGCTCGTTTGGGCCTCCCCTCCCTCGCGCGGTCCATCAACAAGGAACAGTAAGTCGTAAGAAGCAGAACTGTAATAGTGGAAACTGGAAGCTGCAACTGGCACTGGAAACTGCAAACCTTCGGCCTACAGCCTGGTGGCCCCACAAGTGGGCCGGCGGATATAGTTGAATCAGTAGACGTGCGATTGGTTGATTGAGTTGGAATGGTTGAACCGTCGACCTAGTTCGAACTCGCTCGAATGAACCGTCACTGCCTATTACATTGGGCATCGATGCCACTCATCCCGGAAGGGCGAGAACAAATCGACAGCAAGCGCACATACCACACAACACACACAAGACACAACACACACACAACACACGCAATCCACCGACCATCCAGCACACCACACAGCGCAAAACGCAAATCCCGCCATACAGAGCACAGCACACCAAACATTATTACACATCCACACACATACACCCATACACACCCACATACACATACCCACCCACATACACACACGCACACAATTCACAACACACAACACACAACACACACACACACGCACACGCACACGCACACGCACACGCACACGCACACACACACACGAACACACACGCACACGCACACCCACACGCACTCGCACACGCACACGCACACGCACTCGCACTCGCATTCGCACACGCACACGCACAAGCACACGCACACGCACACGCACACGCACACGCACACGCACACGCACACGCAAACGCAAACGCACACGCACACGCACACGCACACGCGCACGCACACACGCTTGCGCACGCGCACGCGCACGCGCACGCACACGCACACGCACACGCGCACGCGCACGCGCACGCGCACGCGCACGCACACACATACACGCGCACACGCACACGCACACACAACACACAATTCACAACACACAGTACACAACACAACACACAACATACAACACACAACACAGAACGCACACAACACACAACACACAACGCACACAACACACAACACACAGTACACGACACAACACACAATTCACAGACACTCAGACACACAGACACACAGACACACAGACAGACAGACAGACAGACAGACAGACAGACAGACAGACAGACACAGAGACAGACAGACAGACACACACAGCACACAAGACACAACACACACACCATACACCACACACGACGCAACACACAACACACAACATGCAACACACAATACACAACACACAACACACAACATATAACACACAGCGCACAGACAACACACAGCACACACCACACAAAACACATCACACAACACACAGCACACACAACACACAGCGCACAGCAACACACTGACAACACACAGACAACACACAACACACACCACACACAACACACACCAGACACACGCACACCAGACACACACACACACACCAGACACACACATATACACATGCACACATGCACACATACACATACACACATACACACATACAGACACAATCATGCACACACACATGCACACACGCACACACGCACTTACGCACGCGCACACGCACACGCACACGCACACGCACACACACACACACGCTCGCACGCACGCACACATACACTCACACACTTTTCACGTCGGCGGCTAGGCAGAGGGACTGCGCTGGCGAGTAAAGCAGAACGGGGCGCGTTAGGCGAATTCGATCACCATGCAGAGGGAGGGACGAGGACGACAAGGCGCCAGCCTGGGAGGGGGAGAAGGAGGTACTGGGTCCGCTCAGAGCAGCCCAGGGGCGCGGCGGGGCCGGTGCCAGGGAGCCAGCGGCGGCGGCGGCCGTGTGGCTGGCGGCAGCAGAGCTGACGATAAAGCCGATGGAGCGGAAGCGCGCACGCACGCACACATACGCACACGCACACATACACACTCGCACGCACGCACACTCACACATACACACGCACTCACGCACGCACGCACACAAACACCCGCACACACCCACACACACTCTCACACACACACCTCCACACACAAGCACACATTGACACAAACACACACACAAGCACACATCCATACACATACACATACGCGTACACGTACACATACACGTACACATACACATACACATACACGTACACATACACATACACATACCCATACACAAGCACATACACATACACACCTACACATACACACACATGCACATACACATGCACATACACATGCATATACAAATGCGCATACACACATACACATACACAAATACACATACACACATACACACATATACACATACACATACACATTCACACATACACATACACATACACATACATATGCACATACACACATACACATACACATATACATACATACACATATACACATGCACACACACGCATACGCATTCACATATACATGCACACATGCACACATACACACATACACACATACACATACACACATACACATACACGTACACATACACATACACATGCGCATAC